AATTAATCGGACAACTAAAAATATATAGAAAAAATTAGCCGGGCATGGTGGCGCATGCCTGTAGTCCCAGCTACTCAGGAGGCTGAGGCAGAAGGATCACTTGAGCCCAGGAGTTTGAGGTTGCTGTGAACTAGGCTGACGCCACGGCACTCTAGCCCGGGCAAAAGAGTGAGACTCCGTCTCAAAAAAAAAAAAAAAAAAGGGAGTTGAAATAGATGACTTTTAAAAATCTTTCAAACTTTAAAATTCTATGATTCTTCTCAAAAACTCTGTGCTGAGAGAAAAAAGCCACATATTCAAAAAAGAGGATATAAATTGTATACTTCCATTTATATGAAATCTTAGAACAGGTAAGACTTGTCTATATTGACAGCAGATTAGTGGTTGCCTGGTTTCAGGGGTGGGGAAACTGACTTTTGGGGCATGAGAAAACATATTTGTCAAAATTCATTTAATTGTACACTTATAACGGATACATTTTATTGGATATAAGTTTAACTTAATAAAGTTGATTAAAAACATCTATGATTCTGCTTTAAAAAGTTAGAAAATTAAGCATATCATGGAAAGAAGGTACTTTAAACATTTTAGGAAAAGCTCTTTAAATTCGAGAGTAATAACTAAAAATGTAAATAGCTGTAACAAGAGCCCAGAGTCATCGTAGTGCCTTAGCAATGGTGGAATACTAAAGGTAGCAGTCATACTCCAAAAGGTTAAAAACTCATAAAGAAGATATTCGTATAGGGAAAAGGACAGAATTATCCAAGATGCGGATTTCAAAAATTACCTCAAAGAGCAGAGCCTGGGCTTTCCGTTCCGGTAATAAGCGCAGTCCCGCTGTTGCCTTCAGGACCACTGGGGTCCTTTTCCAGTGACTTCGGGGGATTGAGTCTTTGGCCACCTCTAAGAGTCCTTGAACAGTCTCAGCACCCTTCAAAAGAGATGGCCTATTTATCCAATGAACAGTCTATTTAATGGCACTGGTCTATGCCCTCGATATGCTTTGGGGGAACAAGAGTGAGGTGGCGGGGGCTCCAAGCCCTCTCTGTGCTGTAGGAGCAGAAACCTAGAGAAGCGGTCCACTTTGAAGAAGGTGAATCCATTTCATTTTGATAGTTATGATAAATATCATTCTTTTCTATTGTGGCTATTTTAGTTGATTGTTATTTTATGTCTCATATAAATTAGCTTTAGGCCAGAGAGCTGCGTATAGTGAAGAAAACACAAGAGTTACAGTCAGAAGACCTGCTTGCTAGCCCTACAGCCTAATATGGGTCACATGGCCTTAGTTTTCTCAGGTGCGAGATGGGAAACATGCCTCATACCACCACTAAACTATTATGCACGTGAGCCAGAGTTGTGTGATTGACACACAATGCTAGCTGTAGCTGTTTTCATGTTATACTTTTTTTTCCCCGCCAGAGACAGGGTCTTGCTCTGTCCCCCAAGCTAGAGTGTAGTGGCCCAATCATCGCTCACTGCAAACTTCAACTTCTAGGCTCAAGTGAGCCAGCCTCCCAAGTAGCCAGGACTACAGGCATGTACTGCCCCACCTGGTCGAAGTTATTTTTAAAAATTTTTAAATTTTTTTTTTTTTGAGACAGGTCTCACTCTGCCTAGGCTAGAGTGCTGTGGTGTCAGCATCACTTACTGCAACCTCCAACTCCTGGGCTCAAGTGATCCTCCTATGTCAGCCTTGTGAATAGCTAGGACTACAAGCAAGCACTACCACACCCAGCTAGTTTTTTTTCTATTTTTTGTATTGATGGGGTCTCGTTCTTGCTCAGGCTTCATGCTACATTTTTTTTTTTTTTTTTGAGACAGAGTCTCACTCTTTTGCCCGGGCTAGAGTGAGTGCCGTGGCGTCAGCCTAGCTCACAGCAACCTCAAACT